TTAGCGCGCTGCTGGACATTTCGAGCAGCGCCTCGGGTCTTTGAGGGTTAATTGCGGACGTGTTGCGGAATTCCATTAATCGAAACGGCTTTCCAAGGCTCCTCTGGTATTTAAACTACACGCGCGTACACGCGTCCGGCCAACGGCTGATCGACGATCCATCGACGGTTGCTTTCCTGCTCGCCGACCTAGAAATCGTATATAAATATGTAATCGGCGCGAACAAACACACATCGGTTTCCGCGTCGTACGTAAGTGAAGTGAAGTGAGATGGCGCGAAACGATGTATGTACGTGCGCGTGCGTGAATGTGTGTGTGTGTGTGTGTGTGTGTGTGTATACCGCTTACGTGGCTGGTTTTCTTTTATCGTGCACGATTGTCGAGGTCATTAGGTAAGTCAGGCGAACGAGACGGACGTAACGTCCGCCTTCTGAAATTGTCCCGGTTATTGCGCGCCTGTTATCATTATCGACGAAAAGTCATCGCCGAAGGGGTTGAAAAGACATGAAAAGTAATACATCGATGAATCCCGACAACAGCAAAATATATCAGGGTGTGTCCGAACTCTACCGAGAAACTTACGGGACAGATTCTACGTTGAAAAGTAAAAAAAAATCTGCGTAAATACATGTCCTCAAATGCTTAGTTTCTGAGATATAGCGCCGCAGTATATCGGTTTAAGAAAATGTATATTTTACTCATTAAATGTGTCTTACAAATAAGTAACTAGACATATGCTGTTGTAAAAATTGTTGCAAATGTCTGCCTCCTTTATCGATGCACGATTGACGCGCATACATGGTCGAACATTGGCTTCATTATTTCCAACGCTGTCGCATTCTTATTGACATGATGAATGCGACCAATGTCGCGATGAATGATTGTTCGGTTAATATATTCAGAGAAATGTCACAATTGATAGGTCTTATCTTCAAAAACAGGTGAAACAAGCGTTGTATTAGTATTCTTAACCTGCTTATCGCGAAGCATTTTCTTTTACCGTTACTTTCCAAACGCTGTATCTCAGAAGTCAAGCTTTTACGAACGTATGTTTACTAAGATTTGTTTACATATGTCTTCTTAAATGGAGAAAACGGCAATAACTTTCCCACTGCCATCAAGGTAGTACAATAGAGGACTTTTGAAGACTTGATGTAGAATTAAATTAGACTTAAAGTGAGACCAGAATTTCGACTCGGGTTGGCATTCTAACATTTTTTCACGACCCACTAACGGATCACGACCCATTACCCATACTTTCGGGATCCCCGAGCGATAAAATCCCTAGACGATAAAACGCGCGCGGACGAGGGTTCGAAAGGCGGGCGAAAGTTTCTGCTCGGCAACGCGTGGCGCTTCAGTTTGCCTCTCGGCAGTCGGATCATCCCGCCGGGTGTCCGGACGTATCACCAGCGGTGTCGGAAAAGCGTGTAAAAAGCGAAACGTGAGCGCACGACGCGCCAAGATACGCATATGAAATTATAACGATTCCACGTGGGTTTTTTTCGCACTTCTCACTAGCTTCTTTACCCGCCTCCGTCGTCTCCGTCGTCGTCGTCGTCGCTGTACCCATCGTGGTCGACTGCGCCCGGCAGCCCGAGGGGAGGGTAAACGGCTTGTTGCACGTTGGCGAAGCCCATTTTATGCCGTGGAAAAAGCGGGAATTCAAATGAGCAGCGTTACCGCCGAGGCGTTTATATGATAAAGAGTCGCCCTTAAACAATATTTATGCCCGCCGTTGGAGCCGGAGGCATGCAATAAATACTAAGCCTATGCTAATCTTTATGCTTGTCCCTCGCTCGCGCTGATAAGGTTTCTTTAAAGTTCCACCGTAAGCTCCGCTCCGGGAGGAAGACGCGGCCGGGCGGGGGGTGCTCGGTGGCCGCTGGTTGAAGGTAAACGTCACGTCCCCGTCGTGTATCGATTATTGACGACAAATAAGGGGCGGCGGTCGCGGAAATAACGGCGTATTATCGCGACGGCGGTATTATTTTTCATAAAAGATATCACGTGTGTTTCGTAATATTTGTACGCTGAATATACATCGACGAGAGAGAGAGAGAGATATCGGCCAGTTCGAACTACGAGCGTAAGTGCATGAGTACGGTGTGCATCGTGACGCATCTCGTTCTCGATGCGCACGTTCGTCGAATTTAATATTATTATCCGGTATTATGTTTTTACGTCAGACGTAACGGGTCAGGTGTGCGCTCGGAGATTTATCGTTCGCGCGGCATAAAATGTCGCGTCTACGTCCCGGCGACGAAATTAGTCGCGACATCTTGAACCAGCAGATTTTTTTACACCCGTAACCCCGGACCACCTCAACGTACCCGCGTACTATTGTGTCCCGGGCCTCTTCGCGCCCATAAACGTGATATGTCGCGACACAATATCGTTTATTTGACGTTGCGGTGGAGATATCTCACTGCCCGACGTCATGGATCTGACGTTTTTGACGAGATCTATTTTGGCAATCCGACGGTATCTCTCTCTCTCTCTTTCTCTCTCTCTGACGCTTTTGACACAATGTCCCGCGTTGTCAGCGGAATATAATTTAGCTTTAACATTTCACGTTGTACTGCATATAATCGTACGGCAACGCTGAATATTCTACTTCGTTAAGAACGACAGAAAAATACAGTCGGAAGGACACCGGCGTATGTGTATAATTTAGTTTTCTTTCTCATTGAAAATAATATCGCCCCGTGATGTCTCATATTAAGAAAAATATTTGGAAACAAATTCGCTGCATTTCCGTATCGAAGCGGGCCGCGTTGAGTCGCGAGACACTTCGCGAACGCGAGAGGGAATCAACGGTGGTGAGATATTTCGTACTCTTCAATTTTCTCGGCGTTTCATTTGAAACAAATGAAATGAAAAACAGTGGAGCACATCAGATTCACTCATCACAATTTGGAATAAAATATTTTCTCAACAGTTTCGAATAGAAGAATTCACTCTGCATGACTGAAGAGTCGCGCTCGAATTCGAGCGATTCCGCCGGCACTCCGCTCTTCGCCCGTGGAATTTCGCGAAAACTCGCTTGACCTATGAGAAGGCGAATCATCGCGCGTGTGGCGTCCTTCTTTTTCCTTACAAAGAAAAAAAAAACGACGTCTCCTTTCATCACCATCGAATTTCCACAACGGGACGCGGGAAGCCGCTGGTCGGCAGCGATTCGGCGCGACTCGTGCACGACGACAAATCGGAAGCGGCGAGGCGAGACGCGGTCGCTTTCTTTCTCTCGGGTCGCTCGGCGGTGCAAAAAGTCGGCGGGAGACCCGGAGCTACAAGAGTACCGGTGCCGCACTCGAACTCGTAGTACCACCACCACCACCACCTCTTCGTCCGGCGGGTCCGACGCGGGCTCGTCACTGCGGGAGGAAAACGAAGGCAGCCGAGCGAATCGAATGGAAACTCGTTTCTTGGAAATAGCCTACCGGAAATTTACGAAGGAATTGCCCTTCCCGTCCCGATCTGACCAACGAGCTATCCACTTACTCGAATCGGTCCGGTCGGATTGCACCCCCGGCGCGACTCACCCTCCCCTCCCCTCGTCGTCCGATCCCCATCAGGCCGGTGAGATCCGCACTGACCGGACCGAATCGGCGGGGATACCTCGCGGAAACGGAATTTCATAAGCCGAATCTCTTAATCCCATCGTGGTACGATTTCGGCGTATCGCCCGCTATCGCCCGTGACCGCCGCGCCGTCGCGCGAGTATTTTCTGATATCGAGTCGGAGTACCCGGTATCTATATCGATTTTACACGCGCTCGCGTATCCGTCCGTATCGTTTCCTGTAAGCACTCGCGATGGAAAAGTCCTCCGTGAAATTCGTTTCTCGCGGCGGGAGGCTCGAGGGGGCGGAACGGACGGGTGGTGGTTATCAGTTTCCCCGCCGATCTCGGGGATTAGAGAATTTCGCTGTTGGCTCCCTCCTCGCGAGACATTGCCGGAGAGCCTCCGGGGTGTGTGTTTCGTAGCTCGTGAACGCACGTGTGTTTCCATAAATAAGGAATTCGTGTCCCCCCCCTGGGGACTTGCCGTTAATATCGCCGATTCGATTTCTGGTTGGAGTAATCGCGTCGTGTTTAATGGAGCACGTATATAATATACGCAACCCGAGTCGAAATTTTAGTTCTACATTAAGTCCACTTGGTTCTGCTTTAAATCTTCGTTAGGTCTTTTATCGTATATTCTTGGATGTTACGAATGAGAAGTTGAAATGAAACTTCCGTTTTCTCCGCTTGAATACTTAACCTAGAATTAAAATTCCGAGAAGCGTCCACTGCGCTTGTTATCCCAATTACATATTTTTCGATACACTGGAAAAGGATTCGGCGACAATTACCAAGATTTGATTAAATAGTTTCAATTCGATTGTTTGGTTACTGCAATCAAATCATTTAATATTATATACTGCATTTACAGTACATGTATTAAATGATATTTAGTAGCAGTAACCAAACAATTTAGTTGTTTAATTACCAAATTTTGCTAATCGTTGTTAAATCTTTTTCCCAGTATATCTACATGCAAGCGGTGACAGCGAATGGATGAATGAAATAGGAGATTTCAGTGCTGAATGAATGTATTTATTCGCTACTTTACAATATTTACGAAATCAAATTTGGACCTTCTAACGGCAAAACGGATTTTAACGTATCCGGAAAAGGAGGGGCTGGGTCGGTTTTCTCCATTTTTCATTAATCAGTGTGCAAAATGGGTAAAAGAAGTAAATAGTAACATGAAACGTTACTTAAGATGAGCAACAGCGCGTGTACGCTGTAAGATAAACGAAGCCGTGGGATCAATCTGACCCCACCTTACCGCTCGAGGGTTAAGAGATGCTTGTGAAATATTCTAATCAAGAAATCTGCATTTAGCACAACAACGCTCGATTATTCAAACTTGAGTCAAGCCTCGGGACAGTCCGAGGAAATCAGCGCGACCGGGCGAGAACGTGTTAAACGAACGAAGTATCTCTTTTTTCAGTTCCGCTGGTGAACATCAGCGTGGTGGAGGGGAGGCCTGCCGAATTACCGTGCGACATAACTCCTCCCGGCGAAGACACACTGCACATGGTGTTCTGGTTTAAGGACGAGGCCGGAGTACCGCTGTACACGTGAGTTTGCGCAACCCTCTTCTATTATCGCATGCGTTATAAAGTACGAATAGAATAGAAGCGCACGGGAGGAATCTCGGCGAGATCTCCGGGCAGCCCCGCCGGAATCATAGAAATTTTCACAATACGACCGCGCGCTAAAAACACAAGAGACGAGGAGACGAGCGACAAAACGCGCGCGACCCGAGGATTACCCGGTAAAAAAATTACGAACAAAGAAAACCACTTTGAGAAAAACCATCGCGGCTCGACCGGCGGTTTGTGCTCGCGAAATCTCCCGTGCACCACGGCGAATGGGGGAGGAGGGTAAATCCCGCGAACGGTCGCCTCTTATTCGCCGTCGGAAACAGTGAGAGAATTTGATCAAAGCCGCCAACGAGGCGTGCCGGGCGCTCGCGACATGCGATTCACCGCGACAATCGGAATAGGCCAATGACGCCCGGAGGGAATCTGCGCTTCGATTTACAGAAGCGACTTTTGCTACCGTCCCCCTCTCTCCCTCATCGAAGTGTGCCACACATATATATATATATATAAATAAACCGTGTGCGCGCGTACCGCGCGTTACTCGTCGCGTCGCTGAAAAATTCCGGCCACTTCGGGAATCTATGGGTCCTCGCGACTAATACGTAGCAGAGCCGTCCTCGCAGTCGCTTGTCGTGCTCCTTCTTCCCATTACGACATCGCACCACGAATCCTACTGGATTCTCTCTCTCTCTCTCCTTTCCTCTTTCGCGTTATTAAACGTACATCACCGCTCGTTGGACGTCCCGACGGCGTTGCGCCCGACCAAAATTCCTTTCCGCGTTCCACGCCGGCTCCCTCGCTGCTCTCCCTTACAAATAAGCGCGCCTCAAAATTACACGGCACGACGAAGAAACTCCTCCGCGCGGCGATCTCTTCCCCTTCACTTGGTCGTTTTTGTTTAGGCAACGATTACGGGAAAATTTTGTTTTCCGCGGCGTATTCGTCAGGACAAGCGCGCGCGCGCAAGACAGGGTGAATTTCTCAGGACAGATCGGTGATAACGAAAGTTTAAGGTTCGTAAAATTTCGGGGTTTCGGGTGGCGATATTAAAGGGATTTTATACGGAATAAAAGTCCTTAAAAATTTATTCCGGGGGGGAATAAATTTTATTTCTGTGAAATAAATCTTACGTCCCACAGATTTTTAAGGACTTTTCTCCCGTACAAACACCTTATTTATTTATGGGAATTTACTTGTAGGATATAAGATTTATTTCATTGAGATGAAATTTATATCTGTGAAATAAATCTTATATCGCACGAATAAATTTTTAAGTTCTTTCTTCTTCTCGGTGTAAGATGAAGGGAGTTTGATAAGAACTTGATGGAAACGTGATGAGAACTTTATCGCGTACATACTAGGAGAAGATTATTTAAATATTCGTACAGAAAGAAAGATTGAGAGCTGAGGCATTTGTAACTATATATAGTTGACACTTTTTATACACGTTCCTTGAGATTAACGTGCTATTTTTAATATCTATTTTCATTATTTCCTAAGCTAAAAATAAGATTTTTACGAAAAACTATGATATTAAAGATTAATACACAAATTTGCGCGTAGTGTCTCCACATTAGTATAATATTAATATCAACAATTTTCCATTAAAATCCTAAATGCGACTTAAAAGAAATTGTGAATAGAAGTTAAAAATAGAACATTCTAATCTCAAGGAATGCGTACATATGTAAAAAGCGTCACCTTTAGTTACGAATATCTCAACTTCCGAACGGCCAATCGTTTTCTAACATCACAGACGTTTAGGTAGCATTTCCGTCAATATGCAGCTAAAATTCGAAAAGATTCCTAAGAAAATAATTTGATGAATCAACTGCTTTAAATGAACCCTCGATACCTCGTACACGTACGCTTCCCCGCGGTCGTTAGAATTTTAATGACGCGGCGGAAAGTTCGCTTAATTAATCGCGATCACGTTACCGATAACAGGTCGCGCGTTATTCCGGTCTCTCCGACCTGTTTTCAAGCGCGCGTTTGGGACGCGGATCGTCGTGTGCTATTAAGCCGTGCGCGTCCGTTCGCTCGTGCAGACCTCCTCGATATTTTTCGATCCGCGCGGATTGAAGACAAACAGCGTGTTTCCGACGAAACGCAAATAGAGATCGAGAACGCTTAACCCGTTCACGATAACGAATACATACGTATATCGTATCGTATATCCGATGCGCGCACTTTTCCCTGCCCGACCGTGCGCCCGCCTTCGCAGCGCTTCCACTTCACTCGCGCGCGCCCATACGCAACCCCCTCTGCCCTCCGCCGCCCCTCTCCCGGCCATATGTGCTCCTCGTGTTCTCTCCGGCCGCTCTCGATCCGCCGTCATCGAATCGATTTACTGCGGAAATACCCGGTGGGAAAACGACGAGCCCGCGGATGTTGCTCCTCTTTTTCGAATTCGCGATCGAACGTTTCGCCGACCGCCACTTGAACGACGTCGGTAGATCCGACGAATCCTCGACCATCGAAGTATGGACTGCCAATAGTTAATTTCGGACTGGTAACCAAGATGCGTCGCGTCACCATCGACCGATTGAGGAATACTAAAATTCCATCTGTCGAGTGTTTGCGAACAGTGGCAATCCACAGCGATTTGTTTATTATTTTAACAGAAATAAGGGGTTCTTAAAAGTGGCATACGGTTTTGTTTTAAGACCGTCAATCTGAGAAAAATTTCCTGTGCCTTTGTTATGAGTAACTTAAACTAACTTATTCTATCCAACTTAGCTATTTTATGTGTAAGGATTAAATTATTATTATTTCATAATTTAATACCTCGAACTAGTCTACTCAATTAACTACAATTTGTATTTCCGCATTTCTTATTATTATACAGAATACAAAATATTTTTCATTATGATTGATACATTTTGAAATATGTTTATATTTCCGGGTCTTTTTGGTGGACGGGACGAGCCTTAACTCTCGAAAAGTATCGAAGATGTTGGATACATTTCTCAGCGATAAATGAAAAGAATGTTGGCAGTTCATACCTTTACAGTCAAAGCGAGGTTTAATACTGTACTGCTACAGGTTACGAGAGAAGAAACTTATATTTGAAAATTATTTAATATCAATACGACGGTTGGCGGATCGGCGACGGGTGACTTTGCATCTTCCGCAAATATTGATTGTTTTCGAATTCGTGTGTCGCGTATTTGTTTACGACCCAGGTGACATTACGTCTCGACTCGGTAATCGACAGACGTACACACACCGTGACGCGGAGCACACGTATCGGTGTTTTAGTTATCATACCCTCGTCAGCTTTAAAATATTCAGTTGACCTCTCACCGATATCGCGTTCATTAATACACACATCTTCGGTCGTATGGTATCTACACGAGTATTACTAACAGTGTCAGTGAAAGTGATACTGTAGTTAGGAGCCAAGATGCTAAATCAGGACGGAAGATGTCACCGGAACGTGGGCAGCGATGCTTCGTATATCAGGTGTGCCGAATTATTCGTCATTTTCCCGATTTTAACGAACGCTTGACGAACTTGCCGAGAATAAAGAGATATTCCGAATCGAAGTCGAAGTAGACCGGTATTCCTAGTTCGTGAATCTCCAATTATTCGTCCACTCGTACCTGTACTTATTTCATGTATACGACGAGAAATATTGATCCAAACGGCCGAATAACAGACCTGTGAATATGAATCTGTAATTAATTACGCTCTCCATCAAAGACGGGGAATTATTTACAACTATGAATACCGGCCTTAGCATCTAATCTCGCAAGTATTGATTTACGATTCCAATAATGCTCTCACATGCTCGCTTTGAGTCTATCAACTTTTTGTTTTACTCTGTGTGTTTAATACTACTTTGTTTTCATACTCAATTTGTATCTGTTAGTGCACGGCATTATCGGACAGCAAATGTTACATTTACCTTTGCAACGTTATCTTTTTTACCTTTACTTCATCTCAATAAGAACAATAATAATAATAATTAGCTTACGGAAAGTTCATTTTAATTACCAATTTTTATTAGCCATCAATCTTATCAGATTATTTAATATTCGCTTATCATATATTCTCTCTCTCTCTCTCTCTCTCTCTCTCTCTCTATTTACCTATTTATTTATAGTTAAATAAACTATATAATTGATAGATTGCTTATTGAGATGAAGAATAAAGATTAAATGCAGATAAAATATTGAGGTGGTCGCGAATGTTAAGTAATTGTGAAGTAAGTCCTTCTTAAAGGACACTTGAACGTGGGGAAAACAACGGCAGTAAGTGAATATTCGCAGCACCAAGGTAGGACGATAATATGTACACATGTTTATCTCGAGCTTCTCCATTGGCCCTTCAAGGGACGGAATTTGCGGGGTTAATGTGGAACTAAAACTTCGACTCGGATGAACTGTCCACGGCGAGTCTCGGCTCGTGCGCGGGGAGTGTTTTTCTCATCTAACCTTCGAAGGCTTAGCCCTTGACCGCCTTTCCAATCCTGATCCAATTCTAATGCGATTTAAACGACGTGTGGTAGCCGTGACAATACTTGAATGCGCGCTCACTCTCGTTCGTTCGTTCACGCGCGCGTGCGCCTAACGAGAATCAGAACGCGGCACAATCAACTTCCGTGGCGTGTAATTATGGCGTGTCAATAAATTTCAATCGACGAGTGTAAGGGGATAGAGTGGGAGGGAGGGGAAGGTGGCGGTAGCGGTGGAGAAGCGGTGGTGCATCGGCATGGTGGTCGGAACTGCCCGATGTTTCCGAGATTCAGTTTGGCGGCTTTATCGGCGTATAATTGATAACGGCATTGAGAGGGACAGAGAGAGAGAGAGAGAGAGACCTCTTCGTGCGCGCGTTCGTAGTTATGCAACGGAGATCTCGCGGGAATATCAAGCCAAACGTCATTATGCATATTTTTGCTTTATTGCGGAATATTTTACGCGGTAAAAATATCGACCGGAGCGAGACGATTCGCTTAATCGCATCGTGCG